AAGATTATGTAGCTTAAGCATGATTGTTCGTAGTTAAAGTGATTAACTACCCGCCTGGCACTTAGTTAAGGGGTTTTATCCCCTCCCTAACTTCAGGGAAAAATCCCTGCCTGGGGAAAAAACCTTTCTCGGAGAGGTGACCTTGGTTAAAACACATAGCGCCAAGAAGGGGAGCAAACATATTAAGAACAGTAGGATGGACCGGCTCCCAGCATCACGTCACTCATTTTGAAAGAGGAAGCAGGAGTTCCACGACCACAGGTTCTGTCGCGGCGAGTGGCCGCCTGGGCTCTGTCCACGCAGTGCGCTCAGATCAGAGGCGGGACGAGGCTGATGGGCGTCCCACCTGCGGGACGGGTGACAGGACGGCGGGAGCACCTGTCCCGGCTCAGGTCCTCCCTGTTAAAGCTCGTCTCCTGCTCAGCACGGAGGTCTTCCTCCCAGAGGGCCCCCCTCCGTGCTCCCATAAACTCCCCTTTAGCTTCTTTTACAGAAAATGTCATATATTATTTTTTTCAACCTTTTTTTAAAGAAATACGTTATTGATTTTAGAGCGAGAGGAAGGGACAGAGAGAGATGGAAATATCCATGGGAGAGACATAATCAATGGGCTGCCTCTTGCACGCCCCCTGCTGGGGACCGAGCCCACAAGCCAGGCGTGTGCCCTGACGGGGAATTGAATCATTGAATCTCTCTCCCTCCCCCTTCCTCTCTGAAATCAATACAAATATCTTAAAAGGGAAAAGCGAAGAGATTTGGAGGAGAGCCCTGGCAAGAGCTGTTCTATGCGAAATTCACAACCTGCCCCGGAAGACTGCGCCCAGCTTCCTGTCTGGATTCATTCTCATTCATATATTCATTCTCATTCTCTCTCTCTCTCTCTCTCTCTCTCTCGTTGCTGGTCCCTGAAAGTAGGGCTGCGGCGCAGCAGTCCTGTCTCCAGCTGGCTTCCAGGCGGGTTCTGGGGCAAGATAGATCCTTCGGCAAAGCAGACTCGCTGTTGCCCAAGTCAGGGAGAAGGCAGCCCCCTGGTTCCCGGGAGTCGGGCCGACCAGCAACAGTGGTGACCAGTGACCAGAGCTCAAGGAGCCTGCGAGCAGTGCGGGCAGACGGGAGGGGCAGATTTAAGAGAGTATGAAAGCACCTGGCGGCCATGGCTCAGGGGCTGAGCATCGACCTGGGAACCAGCAGGTCCCAGTTTGATTCCCGGTCAGGGCACAGGCCCGGGTTGTGGGCTCCACCCCCAGTGGGGGGCGTGCAGGAGGCAGCCGATCCATGATTCTCTCTCATCGTGGATGTTTCTCTCTCTCCTTTCCCTTCCTCTCTGAAGTCAACAACAATATTAGAAAAAGAAAAAGTATAAAAGTGACAGAGCTAGAGGCAAGGAATTTTAACACCAAAGTCTTCTTGGGAAGGTGGCGTCGGCTGGCTCTGTCCCCGCCCGCCGCTCCCCATCTCCTTGTCCATCTCTGGTTGCTTATCAGCTGTGGCATTAGCACAGCCAGGTGGTTCTTGGTCTCCGATAGCCCGGCTGTCCCAGCCCCGCCCGCCCGCTGAGTCACTCACGTCTCCTTGTGGGATTACAGACCCGCCTGCTGTTGACTCATCTTGTCCGGCTGCAGGCGAACCCGGACCGTGCAGGCAGGGCGAGGGGGGAGCGGCCGGGCTGTTCCTTTAAAGATGACCTGTTTGCCGTTGGCATTTGATCCACAATTCGTGGCCGCGATTAAGATGAGTAATTTGTATTCACATCGTCTGTGCTGTTTAAAAAGCCGCTGGATGTAATGCGCTTGTTAAAGGGAGTCGGCACATACGAGAAAGCCCAGTGCTCGCTTGGCGCTAAGGAAAACATCCCCGGGTTTACTCAGGGATAACTTAATTCTTCCCAGAGGCCATAAAGCTTTCACCACTCGTGCCTGAGCCCCAGGTGTGCAGTCCTCGCTGGCTGCGGTTCATCTCTCCGGGCCGAGGTGAGGCTCACCCATTCAGCCACCAGCCAGCGGCTGCCCGGCCCGGTGCACACAGCCCAAGAAGCACTCAGAGC